ATATATATATATATATATATCTATATATATATATATATATATATATATATATATATATATATATATATATATATATATATATATATATATATATATATATATATATATATATATATATATATATATGTGCCGTGGCTAGTGGCTTTAGGCCCCCCCCCCCCCAAACATTCCATTAGGGCCCCAAAGTTTTTTTAAAATGCGTTTATGCGTTTAAATTGACACTTTTTTTTTTTTTCAAAAAGCGCAAGGCGTATCTTTTATAATGCAACGAACTTATTTTTAAGTAGTCGTTCACGAGAAAAAAAACAATAAAATTAACCCTTTAATTTAATTAAGTATATTTTATAATTGTTATATTTATTAAGAGTTTAAAACAAAAAGTTTCTTTGACTACTGTGAATGTATTAGGCATTCACAGGTCAAAAAATAGGTTTGCGTCGTGTTTTCATACTTGCAAACTTATTTATTAAGCCTTCATAACTTAATTTTCTTGCCACCTCGTTCTCGATTGACAGCATTGCTAGGGAAGACAAACGTTCATCGACCATTGTTGACCTACATAAAGATACAAAGAAATATAGTTATATGTGTTTACGTATAAGGAAGTAAGAGTATTTATACTGACCTATGAAAAGTTTTAATTAATTTTAACTTGCTAAAGCTACGTTCTGCACTTGCAACAGTTACTGGAGAAGTAAGAATGATGCGTAACGCAATAACTAGATTAGGATAAGTTTCTTCTTTGTAGACGTAGTTAAGGAAGTCATATGCAGATTTCAGGTTTGTATTTTTGTCCTCTTGTACAACTATGACAAATCGTTTCAACTCCATTTCCAAATCCTCAGAATCTATATCACCGAGCTTCGTTTGCAAATTTGTGCAAAATACAGTAAGAGAATTTTCATTACAGGCTTTGATAAGACTCTCAGACCGGTAAAGAAATGTCAAAAAGATTTGTGAAGATACTGACCTGTTCAAAACGCTCCTTTACTGATGCAATTGACATGTCAATGAGTGGCAAAAAGAAATCTGCTTTATACTGATGCTCAGGTTGCCGAGTTTCATCAGCACACTCGTATGAATACATTTTTTTTTTTTCGTAAGCGCACTGTTGGAAAAACCTTTTCAATGCCCAATTCTTCTGCAATTTCTTGTGCTTTAATATGTGCGTCAGTAAATCCAGTCTCACGATACTCATAAAGAAATGTATTTGTTGCTTTTATTTCACTAGCCAATATGTCAAGAGAGGTTGTAGAAGACTAAAGAAGCTTACTTGATTTGTTGATTTGAAATAAAACGTCATACCAAATAATGATTGATAATAAGAAAGGCCATGTCCTAATATATTAAATCAGAGATCGTACTTCTGTGACTGTTGCCCCATCTTTCTTTTCAAAGGCATGTTTTTCCAATCTGTCGAGTGCCTCTAAAATTTCTTTCAGATAATAGCGAAGTGGTTTAACACAGTTTATTTTACTTTCCCATCTTGTATCTGATTGTGGTTTGACAGAAATTTCCACCCACGATTTTAAAATTTCCCATCGTTTTTTTTGCCTGATTTAAAAAGGCATCCAAAAGCCCTTTTCCAGTGGTATCATTTACAGTGAGATATCCAAAGAAATTTTCGGAAATGTTAATACCTACTCTAGAAGTACATGTCACTGATCTTAAAATTATGCTCATTTGTTCTTTATGCGAAACGTCTGGCGTGCAATCTAAAATAACCGAATAGTATTTTGCTTTTTTTACCATAGAAAGGTTTTCTGATTCAATCTCCTGCGCTAAACATCTAATCAACTCGTTCTGTGTGTCATTGCTCAATTAGTGAGCATTTGTTTTTTTGCCCTGAATTCTTAACAGAAGCTCCTTGAGGACGGCATCGTACTTAGCAAGTAATTTAAACACCCCAAGAAAATTTCCATTGCTCTTTGAAGCAATTGCCGTGCCTGAACCACGGAATGCAAGATTTCTTGCTGAAAGAAATAACGTAATGTCCAGTATCCTTTCCAACACAGATCTCCAAAATACCCGCTCTTTATGAAGCAACTTTTGTTGTTGCTCGTCTATGGTAGCTTGATTTGCTATGCCTGCATTGTCAAAATTGAAATAAAATTAATATTTTAGCAATAAAAAAAGTAACAAAACAAGTTAAATGAAATATCAGTTAACTTTTCGTAATGTCATCCAATGTTCAAAGCATTTTAAATGTGCACTGCATGTTTCGTGTTCTTTAAGTTTTTTTGATAAACCTTCCCACGTGTTTATTCCTTTTCGAAATGGTGAAGAAGTTATCCCAAAAAGTTTGCATCAGAAACAAAACACTTTATCACTATTTAAAGAATATATAAGCCATGATCTTTCAAAGATTTCTCCATTTTTCATTTTGCGGTTATAATAACTCATGGAAAATCGTCTTCTTTCTGAATTTTTTGGAAAGTCGATTTCAATCTTTTTTAAACCTCGTTTAACAACATCACACTTCTGAGCGTCAGAAACATTATCAGGCCAATCAGAAGGATCATCACTGAGAAATATTAGTGGATTTGTTGTGGCATTTGATTCACAGATTAAACCATGACTTACATTTGACTTTGCATTTGAGTCTTAGATTAACCCATCTGACTCTAGTCTAGTACCCAAATAATCACAATCAAAATTATTTGCTGATATCAAAACACTGCTAGCCGGAACTGCTGGTTTTAAAAAATGTGTTAGCTTGGGGTATTTCATGATTTTCTCCATGGCTGCAGCTTTTTCTCTTCTTTTAGTGGCACCACTTTTCACTTTTTTCATTCCAATAATTCCAAAATATTGTAAAAAACTAAGAATGAAAGATAATTATATTTTTTGCTAGGCATAAAACATAAGTAATAGAAATAATAGTAATAAAATAAACTTTACCGTGGTGAATTGGTAAACAGTTGAATTACCAGCAAATTATAGTTAATCAATAAATAACCTAATTAAAAATAATAAATTCGCTTGTAATCATAAAATAAGCGACATACTTTAAAATATATTTCCCCACGAAACGCTGTTTAATGGTTTCTCATTAGCGCGCTAGTAACATCAGACAAACCGCTAAATAACATCAGACAAACCGCTAAAATAACATCAGACAAACCGCTATAGTGGCTTCTCAAAAAACTTCTAACAAAACGAAAGAACTCGGGAGTGTAAATTGTTTTTGCGTAAAAATGACTTTTGCTTTTTTTACTTTTTAGCATGCATAACTTAGTTAATATAATGGTTAAAATGCAAATCTTTTTACTTCACTTAAACCCTTTTAAAGTTAAAAGATATTTTAACTTTTAAAAAGGGCCTCTAAAAATACTGGCCCCCCCTCATCGGGGGGTTTGGGGGTGCCTAGCCACGGCTCTGATATATATATATATATATATATATATATATATATATATATATATATATATATATATATATATGTATATATATATATATATATATATATATATATATATATATAAATATATATGTATGTATATATATATATATATATATATATATATATATATATATATATATATATATATATATATATATATATATATGTGTGTATATGTATATATATGTGTGTGTATGTGTGTGTATATATATTTATATGTGTATGTTTGTGTATGTATATTTGTATTAAAAAATATATATTTTTTGACTAATGGCATCTATTTATATTTTAAATACTATATGTTCTTTGTTCACTATATGTATTTTTAAATATTATATCTTCTTTTTTGACTAATTGAGGGTGTTTGTACTATTAATTTAAATCTTCTTTAATTTTAATCTTCTTTTTTCTCTAATTTTATTCTTAAATATTATATCTTCTTTTTTTAATATTTCTTTTTTTTTCAAAATTTTCTACTTGATTTATTTATCATATACTATTATTCTTATAATCTGTAAGGGCTCTATGAAAAGATTAGGTTGGTATATTGCCATACATATCTTCTTTGAGCTCCTGTCTGTTTATTATTTATACATTTGTAATTATAAGAGTATTGTTTTAATATAAACAGCAAAATAAAATAAAATTATATATATATATATATATATATATATATATATATATATATATATATATATATATATATATATATATATATATATATATATATATAAATAAGCTTTAGAGATTAGAAAACTTTTCATATTTTGTCCATGGTAACCTCTGTCTTTCTTTAAGTTATTCAACCCAAGGAGAACGTTGTTTACATTTTAATTATAATCAATGTTTTAGGCATCAATTATAGTTAAAAATTTACAAATATAGCTCATAATTAATTTTAATTAAAAATTAGTTATTAGCTACAACAATTATCGTCTTTTTGACATCGTTTTTAAGAACAAGAACCTCAGTACGACGTCGTGACAAATTTAAATGTTGTTTAGATTTTTAATTCTGTCATTATGGAAAGACAACTAAGGGGATGTTGATATGGATAAAAGTCATCTTGTCTAACTGGGATAGAAAGATCAACCGAGATCCTTAAAAACTCGTACAGTTTTAGCAATGCGTTCATATGTAAAATTATTCAATCCATTTTTCCGGGATCTCGGTCATGCGGGTGGAAAATTCCTAATATGAACTTAAGTCTATTAGGTATATAAAATTGATGATAATTTTATATTTCTATGTTTTTAATTTTATGTTTCTCTTAAACTGCAACTATGACCAGTTGTAACCTTAAATTTATCTTCATGAATAAAAGCTTTTCTTTTACAGCTAATTTCACTGATCATGATGAAAAAGAATATTTAATAATAAAAAATAAAAAAATTTTTTTTTTCAAAAATTGTTAACTTGATGACACTTAATAATACTAGTGCTAAATTTTACTTAACACTTTGCTTATTTTAGATTTTTGTTGTTTAAAATAATATTTGTTTTAACAGATTTCAAATAAACATTTTTTTCTTTTATGATTCTTAACCACTAGTAATAACAAATGTTATTAGAGAAAAAAAGTTAAAAAAAAATTGAAATACATTTTTGTTATTATTCTAAAATTAACAAAATTACACGGTGACCGAACTTAGCTGATTATACACTGTTAAAAATTTCCGTTAAAAAAACGGAAATTTATTCCGTTATTTCAACGGAAAATATCTGTATGTCCATATATGGATGTATCCATCGATTATGTACGGAAATTTTCCGTATTTGTAGCTAAATTTTCAAATACGGAAATTTCCGTTGTATTTATATAGAAAATACATGTTGAAAATTTTTAAAAGTTATTTTTATGTACGCATTTATCTCCAAAAATAAGTTCTGAAGTTTTACAAAGTTCACCAGGCATTTTAATATAAACTGTTCTGTTCTTTTTAATTTTAAAATTACATGAGCTTTATTTGGTCCCTGGGTTGCTTAGAACGAGACTATGTTTAGTAGGGTTCTTGACACAAGACTTGTGCATTCTTAGTTCAATTTTGAGTGATTTTAAATTTATGGAAGTGCACTCACATAACATATTATATATAAAATGGATCATTTCAAAGCCAAGGAAAAAAAGTTCACATGTTAAAATATGTAGCTTAAAATAAATAAGTTTTAAAATAGCCCTACTTAAGCACTAGTGCTTTTGTATGATAAGACCGATGAATTTCTCATCGTTATAAAAACTTTTTATAACAATTTACATTTTTATTAATATTTAATTACAATATCTTTATAAATAAGATATTTAAGTTATCTACAAGTAAATATTAAAAAAAAAAATTTAAAAACAAATTTATAAAGATTACCCCAGAAATTACAACTATAATTAGAATGCATTATTAAATTTATTTGTTTATAATATTCATGCAGGATAGTCATGCAGAATAGTAAAATTCTATATAAAATAAATACATCTGCTATCATTTTTCTTCATTATTTCTGATTATTTTTAGAAAAAGTTTGATCATTTCACTAAAAGATTTTGAAAATTGTATGTAAAACTAAATCAGTTTTACATACAATTTAAATACAAAACATACAGTTTTGATCAGTTCACTAAAAGATTTTGAACGTAAACCTTATTTCTAGCAGTCCAACATTGTAAAAAGGCTATATATAGTAAGTTATTGTTGATACTATAGAATCAAGTGATGCTCTATAGTATGGATTAAAAATAAAAATGGCAATTTCCAACAAATAAATAAAATGTGAAGGCCTTAAGTTATTGCTTTAAAGGTATTGTTTGTTTTGTCTATTGTTGTTAAATCATTCTGGATTTATATTTAATATTTTTCTCAAAATTCAAGTGCTTCAGTGTATCAGAATAACTTCCAGAAATGAAAATATGATGCATTTTTAGTTAGAAAAGTATTTAGTCATTTAGTATATAATATAATAAATTTAAGTTGTAGGTGTAAGGCTTGAATGTTCTTCGTATTTTAGTATGCATATCTCTTGTAGAGTAAATGCTATGAAGTATTTATTTATTTACTAAAGTGATTTTGAGATTTATTACTTTAAATGATGGTTTTATAGTACATTTATTTTTGTAGAACTTATCAAATGTAAACATCATCCTAAGATCTTAGCTTAGTTTGCTAACCTTTTATATATATATATATATATATATATATATATATATATATATATATATATATATATATATATATATACATACATACATACATACATACATACATACATACATACATACATATAGTATATGTATATATACATATGTAGTTATATAAAAAACATAGTTTATGCACACATATATTATATGTGTGTGTGTATAAACTATGTATTTTTATATAAATAAAATTTGGGAATGTTTTACTTGTTATTTCAAAATTGCATCTTATATTTCTTTCTTATTTAATATTTTAGTGTTTTAGATATTTTATCCCAAAAATTTATTTAAATTGCACAATTATTTATATATTAGTATTTATAGTTAAAGATATAATTAAGCAAAATTTAAAAATATGAAATGTTTTTAACAATATCTTAAAATATTTTAAAATCTGCAACATAAAATAAAACAATGTTTTCTAGATCTGATAGCAATATATGAAGGATCACACTCTCTATTTTCTGAAACCATCTGCGTGCACTTCAATTGCAGGATATATGATTGCCTATGGAATCAATTAGAGTTAATTGGAAATGAGCAAGTTGTGCTGATGTAGGAGTCACTGCATACTCTATATGTAGATACACTCATACGTAAAGAAAAAGAGATAAAAGTATATATTTTCTTTTTAAAAAATTTTTTTTTTTTTCATTGAAGTTCTAACAAAGTAATGTGAAAAAAAAAAATTTAAGAAAAAAGATATTTTAAAACAGTTTTTAATTAATGCCAAGTAATCCATAAGATTTAACTAATAAATCTTGAACAATAAATCTTTAACTGATGAAAAGTATTACAAGTAGCATTTCTTCACAGCAAAATCTTAAATCTTAGTCCATATTTTAAGACATTTAGTTCTTTAAACAAGAAATATTTATCTTGTTTAAGAAATAAATTTCTTATCCCCTAATTTGTTTCTTAAAACAAGAAATATATTACTTGTTTTAAGAAATAAATTACAGTGTAGGAAATTTTGTTCTTGCTTTAAGATTTACAGCAATATTGTTAATCTAGTGTTTATAGTTTAAGAAATATATTTCTTGTTTTAAGAAATAAATTGCAGGATAGGAAGTTTATTTCTTAAAACAAGCAATATATTTTTTGTTTTAAGAATTGATTGTCTTAAACTCTGGACAAAGATTTACAATTTTGCTGTATTCATATTTTCATTTGTATTCGTGATTTTGCTGTATTTATATTTTCATTTGTTATTTCACTCATTTGTATTAAAGCATTTATATTTGTGTTGTTAGGTATATGGTTGGCTATAATATGGAAAGTTTAAAAAGTTAAAATCCACAAAGCATAAAATATAAATATGGAATCTGGAAGCACTGAAAAAGCATTGTATTGATTCTGAATACTTTGTAGAGAGAAAAATAGTAAATGTATTTATATATATATATATATATATATATATATATATATATATATATATATATATATGTATATATATATATATATATATATATATATATATATATATATGTATATATATATATATATATATATATATATATATATATATATATATATATATATATATATATATATATATATATATATATATATATATATATAAATGTAATAATAATATTTATATTTTAATAAAAAGTTAAAGAGTTCGTTTAATTTTTTTAAACTAATTTTTATTATATTATATTAATAATGTTTTTATTGTATTTTTAAACTGATAATTTTGCTTGTGGTCTACCATTTGATGAATTTATTTATGGTCCATCATATCAAGAACACAAGATACGATCATAATGTTAATAGACTACTGGTGTTGATTCTAAGGTAAAAACAAATTTTTCAAAGCAGCTAAAGTTTATATTATAAGCATATAAAATCTTCGAAAAATGCTTATGCGAAAGCTTATACAATAATATGTAAGCTTAAAAAAATTTTAAAAGAAAAAATAAGCTTATGCAAAAAGTAAAAGAAGGCTCACAATATATGCTTATCTTTCATAATTTCACAGATTTTAATTTATAATCTATGTCATGATTATGTAATTTATTTTGTGTTTAGAGATATGTTTGGCTATAATCAAGAGAATGCGAGAAAAAACGCAAAAAGAAAGAAAGATAACAGTTATTTGTTCTAAAAGCATATATATAATATCTATATATATATATATATATATATATATATATATATATATATATATAGATATAACCCTATATATATATATATATATATATATATATATATATATATATATATATATATATATATATATATATATATATATATATATATATATATATATATATATATATATATATATATATATATATAAATTTTTATTTAACTTTTTTTTATGCAATGTTTAGAGCAACTTATGACATTAATAATTGCAGAATATATTTATGTTATTAATTTTTTTTTATCGTTTAAGGAATACATTTTTAGAAGAGTTTTTTTGTAAAGTAAATTTTGCGCTTTCAACGGAAATTTCCGGCAGCAGATTTTCCAGAAATTTTCCGTTATTTTACAGAAAAATCAGTCACATGTTAACGGAAATATCCGTTTAAATACGGAAATATCTGTTATTACGATGATACATATTTTCCGTAATTTGTACGGAAATTTCCTTCAACACTTTATTTTTCCGTAAAACAACGGAAACTTTCTGGAAAATCTGCTGCCGGAAATTTCCGTAAAAAACGCGATATTTTTTTAACAGTGTACGACTTGTACTACAACAACAACAACAAAAAAGTTATTTATTTAAGATTAGGCCGGGTGAATAAAATAAAAGCAAATGCTTTACTCAGCGTTTTTGGAGTAATATTTCAGCTTTACGCCAATAAAATTTTTAGCAAACTCGCTCAAATTTTTATTCGCGTAAAGCTAATCAATAAAACGGGTTTTTAGTCTCAGTTACGTTCCATAAATTATCTAAAAATTGTTTAGAAAAGTAAACATTTCTAGAATTAGAGAAGATTTGAAAAAAAATTTAGAAAAAGCAGAATTTATTTTATTGACATATTGGTATTAATTGATATAAAATCTTTGGTATAAAATCTATCTTTCCTAGCCAAATTTATTTCTAACTCAAGTTCAAAATATTTATCTTGCTAAACTTTTTTGTGATAATTTAAGGAACGAAACTGAGACTATAAACCCGAGTATTTACTCCGAAAAAACAGAATAATTGTTTAGCTTCACGTAAATAAAAGGTATTCCACCTTTAAATATATATATATATTTTTTGTTCTTTATTACATTTAAACAACATTCCGTTATAAATATTAATTAAAACGTGCTTTGAAAGTTTTCTTTTTTAATGTAAATAACTGAAAAATTTACTAAGAGTTTAAATTCGGAAAGTTTTTTAATGTTGGTGAGTTAAAGATGTACATATCAAAAGCCTTTCGGAATTGCTCCTGAAAAAAAAAAAAAAAAAAAAAAAAAAGCTTTTATAAAAAGCGACTTAAGCGTATATCTTGACTTAAGTGTATATCTCGGAAGGTTTTGCAAAACATCTTTACTTTAAAACTATTCAGGTAATCCTAATTTAAGAACGATCTTTTCTCGCTGCAGTGTTAAAAAAAATTTAATAAAAATCAAAAGGTAAATATAATAGTAAACTAGTGGACCCAGATTTACTCGGAGTTAGAAAGCTTATAGAAAACAAAAATAAAAAAATTTAAGGCGAACTCATTCCCCGGTATCCTTAGGATTTACATAAATAAATAATCCTTAGGATTTACATAAATAACAAAAGTGAAATTTAAAATGAACACTTTAGATATAGCTTTCTTTCTACAATCTTTTTTCAATTTTCTTAGAGATGTCTGTGGAAAATTTGGTCGAAATCGGGTGATCAGTATAACGCATTGAAAACATACAAACATTTATTTTTATATATATAGATACAATATTTAATTATACAGATATTAAATAAAAATTATTTAAAGCGTGGAATATGGTCGTAGTTAATGCGTGTATTTTTTACATTAAAAAGCGCTTAAAAAAAACTAAAATACTATAAACGTCATAAAAGTAAAATACTATCGGATAAAAACTATATTGTGATTAAAAACTACATGGCTGTTAAAAATCTTTTTTCAAATTTTGTGCAAAAGATTGCAAATGAAATCTAATTATAAAAATTAAAAATTTTGTATGCTGAATATCGCGTGGAAGGTTTTCTGATTATTAACCCTCAAATTTTAAAAATATTCAAAACCTATTTAAAAATCATGAATTTGGATATTTTAACTTTGATTAAAAAGTTAGCTTATTTTAAAGAAACAGGAGGAACCAATGCCTAAATAAAATAAAAAATTATAAGAAGTAATAACTTCAAAATACGAAGCGTAATATAAAATAATAATCAGTGGCGTCGCTGAGGTTGGCGTCACCCAGAGCGGTAAACTTTTGGTGTTACCCCTCTAGACTAAGAGGTGAAAGATGAAAAAAAGGTGAAACTAAAAAAAGTCCTCTATATCTAAAAATTACTAAAAAAAAAATAAAAAAAGTAAAAAAAAGGTAAAAAAAAAAAAGTAAAAAAAAAAATTCTGGCATATTTGCTTCTTATTCATTTTGATGTAATCCCTCTGTGTCACGTTGTGTTGGTGTTCCCCGTTGCGTCCCGCACCACCCTAGCAACGCCGCTAATAATAATAATAATAATAAAAATTAAAGATCATTAAATAGAAAACAAAAATATTGATACCTTTAATTCAAGACACATTAAAATCTGTGAATTTTCAAAAGAGTTAATTAGCCTAAAGTTTTGCTTCAGACACATGTCAGGGAGATCAATAAGTGTAGAAACAGCATAATCAATTTTTCCTAAATGTTCGTTACCATTCTCATCATAAACCTAAAATAAAAAATGACAAATAAACTAACGATAAAATACATTGCTAAATGTTATGCGCTAAAAAACATAAATTGAAATAGTGTAAGAAACTTACGGTTGTCTTAGAGAACAAAGGTACTACATCCAATATTGGTCAAAATGAAACCATATGTAGGGGTTATCAGTTTGAGTGCTAGAATTGGAAACAAAGCTTCTACCTCCATTGAATGCTATGGTAATCAATTTAAGAGTGTGCGAATGTGTGAATACGTTATTCACATTTTTGCACACTAGAAAGTTTGAGCATTCAGTATATTGAATACAGGATATATTGTATCCTGTATTCAGGCGCGTACTGGATTAATTTTCCCTACCGGGAAACTAGATATTAGGGCCCACTTACTATATACAATATACTTACTAATATTAATGGATTCCATGTATACCTATAATAATATCCAGGTTATCTACCCATTTCTTACACTAAGAAAAAACTATACAATTAACATGAACCTAAATAACAAAACCAAATCTACATTTTAATTTAAGTTTCATAAAAATAAATACACAACAATACTAACATAATTATTTTTATTTAAGTGATATTTATTGCGTGGTATAAATTATAAAATATGAATAGGATGTTATTAAAAATAGTTTAATACAGAGGAAATAATATACAAATAGTTGAAATAGTTCAATAAATTGTTGAAAAAGTAAACTTTTGACATTAACATTCCGGTACTTTTTTCACACATTAGGTCGATGACTTGATCCGGTGTTATGTCTGCCAACAATTCACAATTCATCAAAAACAATGATTCCATATTCTCCTTTGAAAAACACGTTTAAGAAGTTGTATTCAACACAACTTCTTAAACGTGTTTTTATAATTTTAAGTTTCGAAAACGATCGTTCACACGTTGCTTGAGTAACAGGAACTGTTAAAAGAAACTTTTATACTTTAAATAATTTATTATACTCTAAAGACAACATATTGAACTCATAAATAACATTTGTTACGCATAATATTGTGGCATAATATTGATAGCTCAGTTGGTTAGAGTATAAAACGAAAAGTTAAAACCCGGACTGTTGAAGGATACGAGTTCAAATCCTGCCACACCCAACTCAGCGCTTGAGTAGTACTTCTTCGGTAAGCAAAAATATTGGTCAATAACGGTTTTGGATATTTTTAGATTATTTTAGACCAGAATTTCACAAACTATATTTTTTCTCTTATTTTATGTTTATCAATATGAGGTAAAGTTCACAAATTTTATGAAAAGTTAAAGAATGAATTCCATTATTCGTTGACCTTATTGAATCAAATAGTTCAATATCACAATATAGTTCTTTACTGTCCGAAAATCTACATTCTAAGCAAGCAAATAATATTATCCATAACTATGTTAAATGTTTTGATTTTATAAACATTTTTGGGAAAATTCAAGTCCTAACCAAAACATAAACATCTCAATCTCTTATGTTTTGGCTAGTACTTGAATTTTCTCCATAACGTTTTGGATTTCTTTTTTCAGGAAGCTCTAACTTTATATCAATGTCTGACTCATCTTCCCAAATGTCTGACTCATCTTCCCAAATTACACTAGATACAAATTCAATGATTATATTTGCTCCTGCACTGACTGGTAAAAATTCTCTTTAGTTTTCTTTTAAAGACTTTATTGTTCCATCAACTTTTCTCCATGCTTGAATATAATATAGACCAGATGTATGTAGGTAATCAAATAGAGCAGTAGTAAACTTAAATATTTGCAAAAATATTATTGCTGTTAGTAATGTTTCATAACGGGTAAGTCGACCTAGTTAATTTTAAGCTGTACTTCTGTATGTTGCTTGAAAAGTTATTAATAACAGAAATTTCATAAAGTGCAAATACAATTTGCACATATAAAAATTGCTCTCTGTCATCATTCTTGGTTCTTTCATTTCTCATATCAATACGACCAAATATCTTAATACCCGCATCATTTTTAGACCGCCATTAAGTTTTACCAATATTTATCAAATGTGAGGGACAACTGGGATTGTTCTGATTTTCATAAACATTTAAGATTCTTTGAAAAAAACGAATAATTCTTGAAGAAGTTTAAAAAAAGAAATAACTAAACAAGAACTTGTTGTAAGACTAGATTTATTCCATGAGTGCAGCAACATGTATGAATATGCCTTGGTAGCACTTTCTTGAGTTTTGCTTGAACTCCTTTAAAAAGCATCAAAATCTTCTGCTACACATCTTAGCACCATCTGCTACACAATTATCTAAGCTAATGTTCATAGTTAATTTTAAACTTCAACTATAGACCTGGTGCTTTCAGTTCTGTCACTAGTATACAGCAGAACAAATACCCATTGATCATGGGTAGATATATCCATAGTTGTAACCATAGTAATCGAATAAATACCAGCTGAATTTACTTCTTCAGATAATTTTAATAATAATAATTTACAAATAGTTTGAATAATGTTTTTTACAGTGAAAGGACTTATAAAAATAAATAAATTTTCTCAATCTTTTTTCCCAATTTTTTATTTTTTTTTTATTTTATTGCCTTAGTATTCATTTAAATCAATATTAGTAAAACAAACTCTAAAAAGTATCCGTGGTCAACTGCTTTATTTTTTAAATTATAAGTGATGCGCAAGGTTCTTATTACTGCTTGATCTGTTTTTCACAATAAGCTTGAATTCGATAACGAGCATCTTATTACATTATTACTTGGATTAATAAATAGATATTATAGGTACTAACAGCAATTACAGTTTTTTTAACAAATAATGTATTAAACAAAAAAAAATCTTAATAATTTATACTAAACACGACAAGGACTGGTACGTACTACTTAATAATTATTGAAGTTTTAATAATTATGCTTTTTTCCACTTATCGATATCTCATTATTCCAATAGTAGGCCACTTTTACATTGACTTTTCTGTGTACTAATTTCAAAGTACTGTCTTAATATTATTATTTTATTATATAAGTATATAACATTAATTAAGTTGACCACACCAAATCTAAAATAATTTTAACATTATAAACTATTTTCAATTTATTCAAATTATTATTTTAATAGTTTGTATTAATAAAGAAATGTAATACTCTAGAAATTAAAATGTGATTATGAAAATAAAATACTGAATTTAACTAAAACTACAGGTGCCTATTTGGACAAGGCCCAAGTCTTATAATTTTTAAGAGGGCCTACCAGGATTTTCCTGGTATCCCGGTACACCAGTACGCGCCTGCCTGTATTTAATATATACTGAATGCTTAAATTTTTTTTTTCCTGAAAAATCCAAAATTATGGTGGTACCTTTGCCCTCTAAGGCGACAATAGAACAATTATCTAAATACACTTTTAAAATCATACCCTGAGTTTTACAATATCCTTCAAAACATTGTCAAGAAAAAATGAAAACGTCTCCTCCCACACCGGATGGTTTGTATTACGTTGAGTCTAAAATTCAAAATTTTTAAATTGTACAAATTTAAAATTGAAAATATTTTAGGATTTTCTAAAGAAAAAAAAATCAAACCTTTGATTTACGAGTTGTGTTGTTCACTGTTATTTCCACATAGGCACTAGTGCTATCTTTGTTTGCATCCTATATTAAAGTTGAGTTATTCTAACAAGTTATTATTGAATTAATTAATAAACCTACAAATATATAAATAGTTATCATAATTACTATCTAATTATTATAAAGTAGTGTAAATAAATATTAGAGTACTAAAATTTATTTCCCACTAGTTTTAATTGATTTCAAATATTGAATTGCCACAGTTTTTCTTACTAATTTTGATTGATTTAAATCGTCGCATATTTTAGACTCAAATAATAATTATAACAAATTACAAAAAAAAATTGTATAAAAACAAATCCCAGAATTCCAAATTTTCATTTTGCGTGTAATTTACACTTTTTTTACAGTTGTAAATAATTCAATTAGACCACATAAAAAGAGTACAGAGTACAAAAAAAAAAAGGGTTTTGTTAAAAGATTAAAAATTAGTTCTAAACTTAGAAAGGTCACGAGTGATCACAAGGTGAAATGACTTATGATTTAATAACAAAAATCTCAAAAATTTGTTATAACAAAAACAGGCATGGACTGGGCCACTGTGCCGCAATGCATTTGCACAGTGGAGTCATATTATATCCATTGGGCCGATACAAAATAACCTAATGTATACCTATTTCATTAACCCCTTAACTGTGTCTGACGGATATATCCGTCATTGCACAAGTCACACACAAAGATATATCCGTCGGATATATCTTTGTGTGTGACGGAAAATAACTAGTAAAACTTTTTTTTTTTTTAATAAAACCTTTAGAATTTTTGGCACACTATACGAAAAAAAAATTTAGGACTTGAAATAATTCTAAACAAATATATTTTGCTGTAATAGAGAATGTAACTTTTAAATCTACGCCACAGTTAAGGGGTTAAAAAAAGACATTTATTGTTTGTACAATATTAGTTAATAATAATAACTAATATTATATTAGATTCTACAAGATGTCTTAAACTAATAGATTCAATTTTATACAAGTTTGATTCCTTGCTTATTATGTAATATGCTAGTCTGTATGGAAAGCACTGAACCCAATCAGTCAAAGTGCAAAGAGGACAGTTTTTTAAATTCCTGATTACGGCATGTACAGAGTAAACATTACAAAAATGAAATTTTTGTCAGAAGAATATATTTGATTTTTTTTTTTGTTTTTATAGCTTTTCTTCAAAATAGTAACTGTAAAGAAACTTATAACAATATTATTATAATAAACTTATAACAGTATTATAATAAATTACAGCAATAAAAAAATTTTAAATTTATAAAACAAGCAACAAGAAATATTTATATATAATTGTGTTTTTAACGCCGATAATCTAACCATGGATAAACCAAATTAATAAATTTTATTTTTTTGGTTTAAATTTTTAATGTACTTACTTAGTTCATTTTAAGAGTCTTTTAAATAAGAATTCAACTATGCTAGCTTTTTCATAATTTTAAATTGTAAATTTAAAAAAATGAAAAATAATAAATTATTTAAAAGTTAACTAAAATGTTGGATGTTGCTGTAGTAATTTATCATTTATATATTTCGTAGTTGTTATAATCACACTTAACCTTGTGTATAAAATAATTTTTTATTTAGAGACTGAATTTTAATTCTAATCTGTCTAGAATTAAAATACAGCTGTAATTAAAAAAATAAAATTTAAGTATTCAAGTTAAATAAATTTACAATACATTATGAAGACAAGAAGAAAGAGCGGAGCTGAAAAGCTTCGTATAAAAAAACTGGTAAATTTAAAAGCTATTGCTGATGACGCAAAACAAAAATATCATTTGCATTGGTCGTTACATGCACAACTAACAAAATATTTATTGGTAAGTTTAAAGAGTTTGGTATACTATACTTATTTCAATATACTGATTCATCAGTTATATTTATTGTAATACATTACATCACATATTTAATGTAAACTAAATTCGTTTTTCTTTTAACATTTTATTTTTATAAGTATGTTGTTACTTTTCTCAATATTTAGATGATTGTGTAACCCAAAAAACCAAAGTTTTTCAAATAATACTAATATGAGAAAGTCCTTTAGTGAGTCAACTTTTCAAAATTATATATTACCTATCATTTTTTATTTATTTATTTAACATATTTAGCTTGTTTAAATGCTATTTAAACCAGCTGAATATATTAAATAAATGAACCCCCTTAGGCATAAACACATCTTGCTAAGATGCCCCATGCATTTTTGATGGGATTTAAATCAGGTGAGAGTGCTGGCCATTCTAATAATTAAATTTTCTTGCTGGTAAATCATGAGATATTTGACTTTTCTCTATGAATTGGAGCATTATCTTGCTAGAAAATAAAACTAGTTTTACCAAATTTTTATGAAATATCATTTAAATGACCATTTAACTAATTTCTATATCCTTCAGGATTTAATTTAGTAGTAATAAAGCCAATCGAAGTTTTTTTTAAATAACTGAACGCACCTTAAAACATTACTCCTCCGTCTCGCAAAGCCTTTATTTTTGAAAATATATTCTCTTTTCTAATGTCATGCCAGTAGTAATTAAAGCCATCTCGACCATCAAGATTGAATTTTTTTATCAGACCATACAATTTTTCGCCGTTCTTTTTAATTGCAAGATTCACTGTTCATCTTGAAAATTTCAATCCCAATTCACCAAATATTTGTCTCACAGAGATTGTACAGTTACTAGCGGCATGCAGAGTTGGTCCCTGTTGGCAAGCAAATTTTATAATTTTAAAATGTAATAAATTTAATTTTAAAACAGAATTTGCTGCTATTTTTTATGGCTTTTGATTCAATTTAGATAACAAGGTTATAATTATGCATCACGGTTGTAACAGTTTTATAAATTGAGTCAATTAAAATATAAATAGATTCATTATTTTGTTTATTTCAAAAAATGATCTCAAGAAATCTACAAATAGAATTTGATCAACAAATTTTGAAAGATTTAAGGTTGCTTTACAGGTGAGGTTATAATTCTGCACCCCAACTGTATTGTCGATGACCCAAAACAAAGCAAAGTATCATTTGGATCAATTGTTACATACATATCTAACAAAATATTATTTGGTAAGTGTAAACGGTTTAGTTGACTATACTTGACTATACTTGTTTCAATTTATTGTAATACATTACATCATATATTTGAACTTGACATGTTAACTAAATTTAATTTTTTTTTAACATTTTATTTTTATAAGTATGTAATTAGTTTTAACAATATTTAGATGATTTTGTAACGCAACAAAAAAACACTAAAATTACTTGTATGACACTGTAGCAAAAACTCCTTGAGTAAACTTTTCAAAATTATATATTAAATATTATATATTTACTTATTATATAATGTTAACATTAATTGATATAACTATTATTTTAATAATAATTATATCAATTATAATTATAATTATTATTTTAATAATAATTATATCAATTATAATTATTATTATTATTTTAATAATAATTATATAAATTATAATTATTATTTTAATAATAAGTAAAATTGTTTTAGTTTTATAGATTTAAAAAAATAATTAATTTTTTGTTAGGTACATAAGGTTAGGTACATAAGGTTAGGTACATAAGGTTAGGTACATAAGGTTAGGTACATAAGGTTAGGTACATAAAGTTAGGTACATAAGGTTAGGTACATAAGGTTAGGTACATAAGGTTAAGTACATAAGGTTAGGTACATAAGGTTAGGTAGGTACATAAGGTTGAGGAATATATTGCTGTAGATAAAATATATTCTTTTGTGATTCCCAAAAAAAGTTCTGTTACTCAAAAAATGAATTTTATGAAACAACATCCTTGTCAACCAACTGCATTGCATAATGTTTCATGGTCTCTTTTCAAACTTTATAATAGTGAGGATCAGAAAGGTAAAACCGTTTTAAGCAAATGGTCGACATTAGAATGCAAAAAAAAAGAATAAAGTTAAAGCCTTGTATTGCAGTATATGCATTGCTTTTTCTACATCATCAACCAATTTTTCTATTGGCTGCACAAATTTTAGAAATATTTATACAGCTGTAGAATCTCATGAAACAAGCAAAGTACATGTTTTGGTTGTTACACCGTTAGCATCTGCTTCATCAATGATGAGGACTTTTTTACTATATTTATGAGGATATTTTACTATAAAACAAGTGCTTGAAATAATTAAATTCTTGGGTAAGCAAAATTTACCTTTTCGTGGAACTGGTAACACAGAAGAGCTGTACAAGATGGACAATGTTAATATCAATAGAGGTAATTTTTTGGAGCTTTTAAAATTTACTGATGAAAGAGATGCAATATTAAAACATTATTGCAAAAATTCAAAATTAAAGAAGAGAAAAGTTAACAAATATTAACGAGCTTTTTGCTGTTATTAAGGTAGAAGATACAACAAAAGTTTATATGAACTATTAAAAACCTGCTTTGACAAACATAATATAAATTTGTAAAATGCTATTGGCAAATCATTTGATGGTGCTTCTAATATGAGAGGAGAGTTTAATGGTTTGCAGTCCTTTATTAAAAAAAAAAATGAAAATAGTATGTATGTTTGGTGCTATGCACATATTTTAAATTTGTGTGCTTGCGATACCTGTGACAATATATCAGCCAAGAATTTATTTGGATTCTTGAATCACTTAAGTACCTTCTTTTCTGATTCTTATAAACGAATGGAAACCTGGAAGAAAAATCAAGAAAACTTAAGCAATTGGAATAAAAAAATTTAGAAAGCTCCAAAAAATTGGAAAACTAGATGGTGGTCCAAAGAAAAAGCTCTTAAGTGGGTTTTTGATGGAGAAGATTGTTTACATCTATTATAGCAATGAATTTTCGCAAATGTAAATGCCCATGCCAAGTATGTGACTATTGGAATCTTAACAAATTAAAGATAACCATTAACACTAAGATTTTAAATATAATAAGATAATAAAATATTTATGTAAAATTATGTAAAATTATTTATATCTATGTAAATTTATGTAACATTTTGCACAATTAACTAAAAAGCAACTAAATAATTTTTGATACCACAGAAGATTATTTAACATTTGTTTTCATATGGGCACATGCACCAAAAAAACATTTATTTTCATATAGGCACCTATGACACTTGTTAAGTCAAATAAAATGACATCCATTCAAGATTTTATATTTTAAATTAAGGAAAGTTAAGAAAAATTAAAACCAAAATCAAAATTGAAAAGAAAAATGGAAGGAAAAATATATTCCGGATTTTTTCCTTATATGTTACTCAAACAATTTCCCAAATTTTTAAAATATAAAATGGATATTCTATGTACATAATAAGCTACTATTGTTAGATCTTTAATTTTTATTTGTTCATCAAAAAACTTTGATCAAAAATGCATACTGAAGCAACTAAATTAAAAGATAAATTGTGTGAATTTCAAATTATTTTAACAGCCCACTTACTTCTTAAAGTTTTTAATTCTATTGACATACATCAAAATATTTACAGTCCAGTAACTTAGATCTTTTAGCTAGTTAATTAATGGTAGAAAATACAAATGATCAAATTGGAAAAATAAATTTTGAAACAATTGTTGTAAAAGCAAAGAAATTTTTGCAAATTATGGATGATAAACTATTTTTTTTACAAATCTTGCATTGAATGATAATATAATTGTGGAAAATAAATTACCATTAATGCATTCTAGACATAAGAAACGCAATTACGATGAACTTCAGGTGAACACTATAAATCCTATTAATAAGTTTAAAGGACAAGTTTTCTATCAATTGATCAATCTAATTGATTGATCAATTGATAAATAATTGATCAATTAAGAAAGATTTTCAAATAATTGTATTCAGTAATTATATGTTGTATTCAGTAATTACATGTTATATTCAGTATTTATTGCCAAAGAATTTTAAACCTGCAAATAATTTATCAGAATCTGCATTAAAAAAATTATTAAAATTATCATCAATAAGCAATCAGAAATTAGTATCTGAATTGAATAATTTTTCAAAAATATATGAAAATATTGCAAAAGAGTTTAAATACTTCAATAATGTATAATGATGGTGATTTCAAGATAATCAAGAGTGTGACAATGATGAATTTACATTAGATTGAGATTGAATTCAGAAGTTAAAAGTAAAATATATTCAAATATGCTGTTTTAAAATATTTATGTTTTATATTTAGTGAAAAATTTTTTTTTTTTTAGAGTATGGAAAATCAAAAACTATAAATAATAATCATAGTTCTAAATCATGCTTAATGTCAACAAAAATTAATATACCAGTTAAATCTGCACTCACCTACATATTGTAACTTCTATGCTGCAGTTGAATTTGTTTTAACACTCTCTGTTACACAGGTTAACTGTGAAAGAGCATTCAGTAAGCTTAAACTAATTTAAAATCATTTACAACTTTCTATAAATCAAGACCATCTTGAAGCATTTATGCTAATGTCTATTGAAAGAAATATATTGGATGCTATTGATTTCCAGGAAATATTGAATATATTAAAAAAGTCCTCATCATTGATGAAGCAGATGCTAACGGTGTAACAACCAAAGTGAATTACATAATAATATTTATTTTAAATATATTTAAATAAAATTTTTTTGTCAAATTTAGTTACTTCCCTCCACCTCTTAAAAAATGATGTAAATTTTAGTTCGTCCTCCTCCCATAAACAAAATAAAAATGCCATTATACTATTTTTTTCCTGGTTTAATCAAACATTTACTTTCTACAGTACTGAATTGACTTAACAATATTACACAAATTTTTTTTTTCAGATATTGAATAAACAAGGTTGTTTTTAAATTTAAACTGTTTTAAAAAATAGTTTAAATAGCCACCTAATACTAAAATTATATAAAAGTCTGCTCATAAATAGCATAAATAAAAAATAAATTAAGTTAACACCGTTTTGGTCCCAGCCCCCCTCCCTGTCAATAATTGTCAAACTTTTTACGACCCCCTCTATTTTTTTTACAGCACAGTGAGGCGATTGGGTCCCTGTCTGCCCCTGAACAAAAATAATCTAAAAATATAATTATACTTTTATTTTGATAACTTTGAAAGATTTGCAAAGTTTAAAGAAAAGTTCCTGCAGTCATGTTATTTATGTCTTGAAAGAGATTACAATACTACTAGTTATTACAATGCTAATAGAGGAATATTTTGCATAATAGAGGAAAATTTTGCATAATGGAGGAATATTTTGCATAAAAAACTGCTCAAGAACAGTCTATTTAAAAATATAATTGCATTGACAAACGAACAATGATGCGTGGAGGAATAGTTGACTCAAATTTATTTCTTTATCAATAAAACATCTGAAAAAGATTCAATTTATTTCAAAGCAGACAAATTTGATTACTATACAAACTATATATTATTAACCATTCTGCTTATTTTTTATTTTTTCATTTCTCTAGCTAAGAGAACTTATATTCAAAAAGAAAGTTTACATGAATAAACTCTTTTTAATGGTTAAGAATAAATTAGAGCTTTAAGTTAAAAAGGAAGATTTCAATAGTAAATGATGTCATCAATTTTTGATTTCAGTAGTAAATGATTAATTTATGTCAATATTTAATAATTTTGTGATGGAAACGAGTTTAAATAACTTTTAGATTAAAGATTACAATGATTGCTTGTTTTTTTTTTTAATAAAAAATTGATAAAGGTTAAAGATTCTATAGAATATTTTATGTTCTATGCAGATTTAACAATAGAAAAATCTCAATCAAATTACTTTATCATTTGAGTAGTAGTAGTAACAACATTGAAAACAGCCGAACTGATTCAAAAAGGGATTTCCGGAATAATATTGAAATATAAAATAAAATCAAAATTGTGAAAAAGTAATAGTATCAAAAATCCTAAAAGTAGTATAATTATTAGAAATTAGAAATTAGAAGAAATTAGAATAAAATGATTAACATTGAAATAATTAAAAATTGAATAATGTAAAAAATTAAAAAAATAGGATTATGACTCAATTTTTCTTAATCGATAGACTGCCTGCCCAATCCAAACTTTTCTATCTATTTTTTTGTCGATGTAGCAACACTCCTTGCATGTTCTACCTTTTTGCTAGTTTTTTGATACTATTTGAAAATCCAAATTTTGGTATTATTCATTTCGCATGTTGTTTCGCATAGAGATTTTCAGCATTATTCCTTTTGAATAATGTTGAAAATTTCTATACAGATGGAATAACGTTGAAAATTTCTCCATGCGAAATGAATTTCTATTTTTTTTTTTTAATTAATTCCTTAAAACTAATTTTTGATATTAATTTTTAAAAGAAAAGAACGTTGCAATCAATTTTTTTTTTGATACTATTCTGTTTTCCCTATTACTTAACATAGATTAAAAAAATAATACTATGACATAAAAACCAATAATTAAAAAAAAAATCATCAAAAACATACATTTAAATTCATGGCATGATCAAGTAGAACCAATAAACAACATTCTTCTCCCTATATAAATTTATCATAACAAATAAATAATAACTAAACAAATAAATGAATTTATAATATGAAAAAGATTTTAAACATTTATCAGAAATAAAAGTTCATAAAAATAATTAGGGATTTAGAGTCAAACTTTTTTTAATATATTATTTTCCCCAAAGCTTAAGAGACCACAATAGCCTTTGAAAATAACACTTTTTTTATTGTTTTCTGATACAATTTATCAGTTTGTCAACTTTATAACTTTGAAGAACCTCCTTATTAAAGGTTTTTTTTATTCTTTTGTGCTTAACAAATCAACATTAGAATTAGAGAATTAAAATCGGTACTGATTGTCAGAAAGTAAATTGTTAAATCTAAGAAAAAATATTAGAATTATGCTCATTAAAAACTGATCCAGCTAATATTAGCAAAAAAAAGATTGAGCTGAAAAGGTCAGATATCTGACCTTTTCAAAAGTCACCCTACATCTTGATTTAGGTTGAAAACTGATTGTTGATTTTTTTTTTAACAACACAATTAAAGGTATTCTAAAAACCTTAATAATCTAATTTTTAAAATAAAACATAATACTTAGTTATCAATTTAGTAGTAACAACAATTTTTTCCATTTTATGGTGCTATAGTTATAAAGTATGTACACAATAAAACCACTGATTCAGAACAAAATATATTCTGATATGATACCCTTCATGATATGATAAATATGATACCCTACAGAGTTTGTATCACCAAAAAAAAGATAAAAAAGAGGCCTCTACTGGAGTGACCCTTAAAAAAGTTTAAAATTTTAAATTAAAAAAAAATTATTTTGACCTACTAATCCATGCATATATAAAATATATTACATAAAATTTTTAGTTATTTTTTAAACAGTAACAGTAAGTAAAGTAGTAACTTTTAGTAAACAGCCTCTTAAACCTGCTGCACAGAGTAAAAAGTTGAGCACATGGAAATGTTGAATTTAAAATCTATGCATCTTGTTTACAAAGCAAAAACTTCAAAAAGAAATTCAAAACTCAAGAGGAAAAAAGTGAAGATAAATTTAAAGAACTTAACAACAAAGATATAGATTTTTTTAATGCATAACCACTCACATAACCACCATTCACATAACCATTACTGTTAAAAAATAAAAAATTTACCTTTTTTAAATCGTCAACATTATTACTTAAATCAAACCAACCACAGTTAATATGAAGAGCACTTGTTGTAGAATTATCAAGAGAAAGCCACTAAAAGATATTTAGTAATATTCATAATAAATTTTTTATTAATAAATAAAAATAACACAACTAAAAAAATAAAATTATAACAAATAAAATTCACCAAATCAGTAAAGCTAGAACCAACAACTTTTTCTAAGCTTAACATTGTACTAAAATAAAAATTTTAAAAAAGACTCAAAAGATTGTTGAAATAAAACTCTTCTAAAGTAGTACACTCGTATTAAAGCTGCACTATGTCCTACACTCGTATTAAAGCTGCACTATGTCCTACACTCATATTAAAGCTGCACTATGTCCTACACTCGTATTAAAGCTGCACTATGTCCTACACTCGTATTAAAGCTGCACTATGTCCTACACTCGTATTAAAGCTGCACTATGTCCTACACTCGTATTAAAAATAGAATTAGGTTAATGATCTGATTAAATATCTCAAATCATTTTTTTTTAATTATGCACAAAAATAAGTATATGACATATTTACTTTGGTGCATAATAAAAAAAAAATATAATATTAGAAAAATTTTTTCCAGATTAATTTAGTTTACCGGCAATAAAAAGTTAATAACCGAAAGTTTTCTTTATGAATATTAAAGCATGTTTATTCATCTTATTATTTTGTTTTTTATAATTGTAAATAACAAAGGTTTTGAAAGAATATTTAGGATTGATTATCTACACACTTAACATCCGTAAAGTACAGTACACACTCATAAAAATGAATTGAAGTATCTTACTAAAAAGGTAGCCAGAATATCTGTTTACTTCGAATCAAATAAATTTGAATCAAATAAAAAACTGGCTACCTCTGGAATAACATGATTCAGTCTATTAATATTCGCGAACAAAAAAATTTTAAATAACCTTTTTTTTAATTAGGAACTGATAACCTAAAATGACAAAAAAAAATTTTAAAAGTTAAAATTGGAAAAATTTTTGCTTAGTGATACAGAGTGGGCTGTACCAAAAAAATATATATATATAAAAAGACTTAATGAAAAGATTGTTGGCATAAGAAAAAAAAAATCTTCTAACGCCCACTTAAAATAAAAAAATTGTTGGTATAAAATAAGAGAACTCTTTTAAATAATTATAAATATAATTATAAATTTTATTATAATTATAATTTAATTATAAATTAAATTATAATTATAAATTTTAAATATTATAAATAAATTCTAAATAAAATAAGAGAACACCCACTCATTCATTCCACCATTCATTCACCCACCCATGCTCTACTGATAAACAACTTTTAAACAGTCAAACTTATATAGAATTTATTTATATTTTTTAGAAGAATTATAGAAGAAATAGCAAAAACTATTACCTATCAGTCCAGATATTCAAATATTATCCTGTCAATGTATATTGTCAAACTTGTACAATACATTGAAAGTATGATGATGCTTATGAAGTATATTGTCATCATTTCACCACTAAATATTTACACTATTTAGTTTAAATGTACTCAGTTTTCTGAGATCTGGAATTTGAACATAAAAGTTTCAGATATTCTTAAAAATTTTGTGTATTTGTCGACAAACCAGACTTATTAATAACTAAATAATAAATAATGCTGGTGCACAGTCTTGTGTGTCAAAAAGAAGCAATAACCAACAACATCAAATATTACATGATTTTGACAAAGCATTTGCGATTCTATTCTGTACTGCACATTTAAGAGGTTAAAGAGTTTCTATTTTTTAATTCTCTCAGTCTCTTACACATCAATCTTATATCATGTAAAATATTTTTTACAAAATAATCACAATGAACTGCCTAGTGTTCCAGGATGCATCTCCTTTATGCTTAAAACAGAAGATATATATCTTCTGTTTTAAACACACTGAAGCAAATCATCAAGTTATATATAAACATAATATTCATTGGCACAAAAGAATTATGTTCAAATTTAAAGCATATTAATATAATGTATTTATATTTATAAAATAAATTATATAAATAGCTCGCTTCTAAACTAAATACTTATGGACAACTCACTGTAATGGCCTAGTTACCAGTTCGGTACAAGCCAACTACAATACAGTCAAGCAGATGTAAAAATAAAAAATAAAATAAATAAAAAACAAAACAAACAAAAAAACATCAGGGTTCACAAATTAGTAAGCATCTGCCTCTCTAAAAAGTACAAGGCGAAACGATAAAAAATACTATTTCGATAAAACGGGTACAAAACAATAAACAAAACAATTTCGATAAACAAAACAATACAATTTTGCAAAAAACGGTACAAGACGAAATTAAATTTTTTTGTTTCGTTAAAAATACGGTACAAATCAAAACAATAATTTTTGTTTTGTAAAAACTGTTACAAAACGAAGTAAGATTATACTAAATAAAGAACGAAATAAACAGTACGAAATGAAATAAAGTTAAACTTTTTAGTTAAATTTTCGTTTACAAAGCATTAAGTTAGTGAGTATTAAACAAGCTTTGAATTTTTGCTTTTTTTGCTTTTTGAAGTTTTGCTTGAATGTTTTAGTTTATGTATAGCTCAGATATAGTGGGAATTGGAAAATATCTGTTTGGAGTGGGGGAAATATAAAATGTTCTGTAAAAACCGATAGGAAACGAAACACAATTTTCTTGTATCATAAAAATATGGTACGAAACGAAACAAGTTTTATTTGTTTCATTTTAACATTTAAAAAAAAAAAAACTGCACGAAACAAAAACTATCGTTTTCTACAGTGACAAGCTGAACTTTTGAAAAGATACGAAAAGACGCAGATGTTTACAAATTAGTGTTTTATTTATTTTTTTGCCTTAATAATAAATGATGTATCATTCAAGACACCAAATTATGTTCACATAAACCAAAGATTGAAAAAATTGATAAAAGATTGATAAAAATAAAAATTAAAGTATATTTGATTCACAAACTCAGTTACCTTCCTAATTCATCATCTTTTATGTTATTAGAATCATAGAGCTCAAATTTTACTTTTTTTCCAACTACTATTTCAACAAACATCTACACATAAAAAAAAGTTAAATTACATAATGAAAAAGTTAAAAAACAAAAGAAAATTATTAATAAAAGATTTAACCTAGAATACATACCGAAACTGATTCTTTATTCCATTTTGGATTAAGAGAATTTTGTATTACAGAAGTTTTATGAACAACTTTTGATCCCACTAAAAAATAATATAATCACCATATGAATATCAAACTATTCATTACACTATTCATTATACTTAATTTTTGTTACGTTTGAACATTTGTGTGTGTATGTGTGTGTGTACACACACAAAAATGATTGTCAGGGTTAGGGTTATGTATTTATATGTTATAATATATATATATATATATATATATATATATATATATATATATATATATATATATATATATATATATATATATATATGTATATATATATATATATGTATATATATATATATATATACATATATATATATATATATATATACATATATATATATATATATATATATATATATATATATATATATATATATATATGTATACATACATACATATATATATGTATATATATATACATATATATATATATATATATATATATATATATATATATATATTTTATATATATATATATATATATATATATATATATATATATATATATATATATATATGTATATATATATATATATATATGTATATATATATATATATATATATATATATATATATATATATATATATATATATATATATATATATATATATATATATATATATATATATATATATATATATATATATGAAATATATATATATATAAGCAAATTAACATTCAACTATATTAAACCAAGTAAATTATAAAAGGATTACCTTTTGTGACAATATAGGGATCAAGTGTACTATCGTTAAAAAAATTTCTTTCTTTTTCAACAAGATTCTTTGCTTCCAAAATTTCAATCTTTAATATTCCCTACATGTGCAATAAATTAAAATGCGAATCAATAAACTAATACATGTTACACCAAAACTGTTGGTTGATAAAGATGCATGTTATACAAAGTTTTTTATTTCTGATAGATCATAAATTCACATGTTTAGCAAAATTAATATTTTTTTTAGCAACCATCATGCCTGGAAAATACACATGTTCAGCAAAATTAATAATTTTCTTTTAGTCTTTTTTTAGCCTGGAAAAGACTACTTTTTTGACAATAATGCAAAACTAAATTCTGACTCCACTGAGATAGCATAACAATAAAGTAAATTTTCAAATTGATATTCTTGTTGATAAATAACCACACAAAATAGATGTAGCTATGTTTGGTAAATCTTGTGCAGTAAAACAATTAAAATGGATTGAGGAAGGTGTCAAAAAAAAAGTGAACTTTTTGATATTGATGGTATTTCTAAAGTTTTTGTTATGTAAAGAATTGGAAATTTTTGATTGCTTTTTTTTTTTTTTTTAATATTTTAATTTCCAACAAGGCTGCAAGCAACCATTAAAGAGTTAGAAGTTGTTGGAAGAGAAAAGATGAAGTTTATAGAGCAAGATAAGGGTAAACAGATGATTTAAAAGATTCCAAATTATATGAATTAGGAAAGTTGAAAGGAAGTGAATTCCAAAGAACTCATGTTCGAGGAAAAAAACTTGACAAATTAGAACTTTCAGAGCATCTAGGAACAGTCACAGTAAATAAATGAGATTTAATTGAATGACGAGTAACATGAGAACAAAATTAGTAGATGGCACAAGAGTCACTAGCTCTTTAGAGTAGTGCCCATTAAGAAAGTGGAGAGCATGATAAAGAGATGTAACCTTAGCAGATGCTAATTTTGCATCTAGATTATTCTATAACAATGAGATCTAGATTATTGCGATAACAATAAGCTGAAAATTCTTTTATTCTTTTATCAGAGTTTTATCTGAACTCACCAGCCACTGAGAACCCCATGCCTTAGCAGAGGTGAGATCTTTTTCAAGCTCAAATGCTTCTCCCCCCTTTCCTTAGCAATCAGAGATTGTTGGTTTCTTATTAAGACAAGAATAAATGGTAGCACCATCAGCAAACAATGCCACCTTAATATTTCTGAAAGAATGTTAATGTAAATTAAAATAAGTATAGGGCCAAGGAGGCCAACCTTAAGGAAGAACCAATGAAGTTACAGGATATGAAGAAGAGTGCTGTCCATCGAGAACAACATTTATACTACAATTGGTAAGGAAGGATTCAATAATCTTAAAGGAGTTACCTGATACACCAAAAGAGGAGAGCTTATGGAGAAGATCAGTATGTCAAACTTTATCAAACGCTTTAGAAATGTCAAGAGTGATAGCCTTAGCTTCTCCATCTAATGCACAATATAAGCTAACAGTTATTACCATTAACAAATCAGCAGTAGAAAATGAAGATTGAAATCCATATTGATGATCAGAAAGTTATTAAGATCAGAAAGTTATTAGATTCAAAACAAGAGATTAAGTGTTTGTTAATTAAAGACTTAAAAACCTTGTTATGGTAATAATAAGAATAATGGGACTGTAATTATAGTAAGTGACCGGGGCCCCGACACCAGCTAAAAATGAAACTTTTTTCAAAACCGGCCTGGCTAAACTATAAGAATTAGCAGGGGTTGATAGCCGGGGCTAGAAAAAAATTTATAATACTTTATATATTATAATTTTATGCTTACATTTACTATTTATTAAATACTGGCATATATTTATATATTTTCAAACTCTAATTTACTTCCAACAATATTGCAAGCAACCACTATTAAGTTATGAGTTACTTTAAAATAGAGAATAAGTAAAAATACTTGGAAATGGTTAACTGAAGACTTGGAAAGTTTTAGGTTGTATATAAAAAAAATATGAAGATGGCTAATAGTTATAAGATTTTTTTGATTTGCAAGGACTAATAAAAGTTTTTATATCATGAAGGGACAGATACAGTAAAAGGATGCAACTTGTTGAATAAGAAACATGCAAGAATGAGTTTTGGTATATTGTAATAGAGATGATAGCTTTTTCGAGGATTTACCATGATTGTATTTGTAGAAAAAAATAAAAAAATGCAACCTTAAAACAATGGGAGAGTGGTCAAACTTGGTAAATAAAGCAAGCCTAATTTATTATTATTATTATTTTTTTGTTATGTTAATTCACCTCCCTAAGGCTGAAAACGCCACTCCAGACAAGAAGGCTACTTAATTGTGGTTATAACCTTTTCTTAACTATATAACTCCAAACACGAACCTTGAAAACCAAGGCCGCTGCGCAGAGAAACAAGTTGAGCGTGGTACTACCAGAGACGTGGTGGGGATCAAATTTGGTACCTCTCAATTATGACGCGAGCACTCTACCACTACACCACGACTGCATTATATATACAATGTGCTTTTAGACTTTGTCTGAAAGTAAGAGGGTTATTATTCATCAATATAGAAATACCATTATTATAACAATATTTTTTTTCCTGTAAATAAATGAGTTTTGGTGTCTAACAAAATTTTCAGATTTTAAGTCCAGAATTTAAATCCATAGGCCACAGCAAGCCTTAGGCTGTTACAGAAGAGTATAAAGTTGAGCCATCAACAAATAGAGCCACTTTAGATGTTAAATTTTTATGAAGATTGATATTGTAGATAAGAAACAATGCAGGAGCAAAGATTTAAGAGTATCACAATATACCTTGTGGTACCCTTAAAGTTACTTGAAATAAAGAAAAGTGTAGGCTTTCAATAATAACTTTATGCAGTTAGTAAATAATAATTTAATAATCTCAAAACCTTAAATAAAGGTATAAAGTTATAATATAAAGAAAATAATAAAGAGTGAAGACTATTTGCAGTATAGTTGGAGAGGTCAAAGTGTTTTCTAGAGTTTTGAAAAAATGGAACCACTTATGAAGCACTTTTTAAAACTAAATAAATATTATATAACATCTGATATAAGATACAAGATTTAGTAAACTGAGAGTAACAGAGCTTAACATCAGACGGGACCTTTTTACATTGGCTTCTTGAAATAATAAAAGGACATTTGTTCTTAAGAGAGATATTTTGTAAAAAAGATGAAACAAATGATCAATAAGGCAACTGCTCAAGATGGTGAAAAATATGGAGTAGAATGATGTTTTACTTAAAATTGAAGAGTAGGAATAAAAGCTTCCAAACTTTTAGTCCAGGAGGAATAAAAGCTTCTCAGATGCACTTTATGCATACATATTATGGACCTAAACATTAATGTTTGTTATTTATTTAAATGCTGGCATACAATATCCTTTCATATATAAAATTTAGTATTTATATGATGTAGTATTTACCACATGAGAAGATTACCAGATGGATGTGTGGTGTGACTCTAGCAAGACAAGAAAAGGAGACATAATCTTAGATAGATTAGAAAAAAAATTTTTATCAAACAACGTTTGTTAGAAAAAATTAAAGTAATTTAGGTATCAGCATATAGAGAGTTAGCATCTTCAGTGGCAGAAATAAAAAAAACTTGAAGAGAGTGCCTTATATATCGTATGAACGAGCTTTAGTTAAGAATAAAAATACTCTAGATTGTTTATATTCAAGAAACAGCATAAAAGAGGAAGCGTTGTGCTTATGAAAAGCGAAAGTTTTTCATTTACAGAGGAAAACCTCATTTATTCCAACATTTTTCTTGCATCGTCTCATTTTACAAAAAGATCAAAGTTAGATAAGTTACTTAAAGAGCACAATAAAAAATACAATATGGATATAAAAATAATCCATATTCTTAAGTTTCATTGTGAGTTCAACCCTATAGAAATGTATTGGACTTAACTCAAAAACTAATTTAGAAAGATCAATTACCAAAGCAATAATGGAGTGTTTATGGAACAAATAATGAGTCAAAAGAAAAATACAAAAATAATCAACAATAAACTATCCTTTCTTTTAAAATTGCATTTGATTGTAAAGATGAGTTATAAACATGTTATAAAAAATAATCTAAATCTGGAGATAAAATAAAAACAAAACTTCTTTAAATTTAAAAGTAATCTAATTAATTCAAAATGGAGCTAGAAATGAATTTTATTATATATACAGTTTAAATTTATGAAGTATATAACAGTTTTTCAGCCTTTATAAAAATTATAATATTTTATTAAAAAAGCTTTATAACTATTTTGCTGGCACAATTGCCCTTGTTTTGAGGATATTTTAGAACTTTTTGGAAATTACCATTGAGGCAAACCTTATCCAAAATTTACTTTTGTCTATTTTTTCAAAAAATGTAAACAAATTAAAAATTTCTTTTTGGTAAACAATTTATTTACAACTAAAAAAAAATACGAAAATTTCAAAAAATTTATTCATATTTATTTTTTTATTCATACTTATTTTTTAAATTAATTCAAATTTACAGTTTTTTAGGCATAAAAATAAAAACTAAAATTTTATTATGTAAAAATCACTTTGTAAATTTTTTACTGTCACTATTGTTGAAACTTTAAGTTTTTAAATTTTTCTTGAATTTCTAGTCATCCCTGATTGACAAGAGTTGAGCAACTGTCCAAAAATTACTTTCCCTTATACTTTTTCAAAGAAAGCATAAATAAAAAAAAAATTTTGTTGGTTCAATTTTGCGTCTTTTATAAATCAAACAACACAACAGAAAAGTTTTTCATTAACAGGTTCAAAACACCCACTTTTTAATTAACTAGAAAAACTTTATCAATTTTATTTTCATTATCAAAATTTAATATCAAAAAAAAAAATTATCAATTTTGCTAGACAAGTTAATGATCAAATGTTTACAAGATGCATTAACAGGGTGAATATAAATTAGCATATTTACAAAGTTTAGCGTATATATAAAATATTTTAAAATGTTATAAAATAATAATAAGTAATTTTTTTAAATATTCAACATTTTTTCCATTAAAACTAAAAGTTTTCCTTAAAAGCAATATCTGTGACAGTTGTGCTTCAGTATGAGCATCATATATTAACAATAATACTTAAACAACATAAATTTTTTTTTCCCCAGTAAACACAGTACTAGGGTATCAAAAAACACTAACAAATCAAAAACGCCAACTAAAATTGAAATTGTAGCATATAGCATATGTATCGCAAAGAATCAGTGCACACATTGATTGTATGAATAAAAGCATAACACAATTCAGCTGTAAAGCTAATAGTGACTTCACTGAGAGTAGTAAATAAGAGATCTAACACTCAATAAAAAATAGTGACTTCACTGAGAGTAGTAAATAAGAGATCTAACACTCAATAAAAAATAGTGACTTCACTGAGAGTAGTAAATAAGAGATCTAACACTCAATAAAAAATAGTGACTTCACTGAGAGTAGTAAATAAGAGATCTAACACTCAATAAAAAATAGTGACTTCACTGAGAGTAGTAAATAAGAGATCTAACACTCAATAAAAAATAGTGACTTCACTGAGAGTAGTAAATAAGAGATCTAACACTCAATAAAAAATTTATCTACTCAAAGTAAAAATTCATCACAAATTTTTATTTCAAATTGTAAATTTTGTGCTTTTTAGTATTTTTATATGGCATTGTAATATTTTATACATGTAATCTACAAGTATTGAATTTAAAAGAAAGAAAAAAAAACTTAAGAGTAGGAAAAAAAAAAAGAAAAACAGAAAAAAAATTTTTTTTTATAAATTTTAATAAATTTTTAAAGAAATTTAAATATAAATAAGAAGTCACAAATATAATAAGAAATTTTCATCAATTAATCATCGTCTTTTTTTAATAGTTGTTGGTGTTTTTGAATGATACGTGAAAATAAACGCTAATCAAATATTTTTTATTAGTTAAAAAATTGCTGGTGTTTTTGAATGATATGTAAAAACAATCGCTAATCAAATATTTTTTATTAGTTAAATTATTGCTGGTGTTTTTGAATGATACGTGAAAACAATTGCTAATCAAATATTTTTTATTAGTTAAAACATTGCTGGTGTTTTTGAAGGATATATGAAAACAATTGCTAATCAAATATTTTTACATAATTCAAATTGTACCATTGATTTTTATGATTTGTGTTTTTTTTAAATTGTGAAAGTGAAGTAGCCATTTTGAATTGATCAGAAATTTCACATGCCAATAGCAACTTTTTTTAAAATGAAACAAAATTTTCACATAACTTTTTTTATTATTTATTGGAATATAAGGATATATTGGGTATTACTTTTGTTTGATTAAGAAAAGTTTTTTTGTCTGCATCAATGAATGCCTTTTATATATACCCTTATATATTAGGTAGGTATTATATATACCTTTGGACTTAAAGGATTTATACATTTGCATTTAAATAATATATACCTTTGCATTTAGAGAGTGAAATTGATTTAGAGAAAAATTATTCTTTTGTATTTAAATATTTATTTTTAAATTTCAAAAATATAACTTTAAATTTAAAAAACAATTACCTTAGGATAATAAAACCTGAAAGTTTCAATATCTGTTGGATTGGCAATGGGAATCTTTAAGCGATTAGGAAAAACAACAAAACTTTCCAAAGCTTCTTTTAGTAAACTATTAACAATATGGCTGAAACAATAAACATATTTTAAATAACATAAAAAAACAAAAAAAAAAACAAAAAAACAACACTGATATTTATTAGACTCAAATTAGCTGCAAGACATTGACCACCCATATATAGAACAACATGAAGGTTAGCAACTGTGTTTATTTGGTTATGTTATAACTATTTTCAAATTTTTTATTTTAAACAAAATATGTTTATGTAAAACATAAAATTTTTTTGCATAAATTTGCATAAATATATTTGTTAGCATTACTTTGTTAGAATTTCATTTTTAAATTGCAAAATTAAATTTTTCCTTCAAATTCATTAAAAACCGTGACCAAGTATTTAGAGAATGATTCAAGAAAAGATTATAAGTTAAAAACTGTTTTATTAAAACTTTATGATAAATAAAACACAAAACTTTTAAAAGCATATTTAAAAACTTTAATTTAATTCTTAAGAAGCCTTTACATTTTTTTTTTCAAAATAAAAAGAACAAGCTTGTTGACTAATTGCTTATTTAAGCCATAAAATTAAGAAAAAGAAGAAAAAAATATTTTTAATTTTTTTAACCATAAAATTAGAAAAGTTACAAATATTATAACTTTACAAAATCAGGTTTGGTGTCATATAGTTTAAAACTAGGCAATGGAGTGACACCTTAATAAAAAATTATAAAATTAATAATAAAGTAAGTAAACAAAATAAAAATAAAATTAAAAAAAAAATAAATAAAAATATGAATTATAACTTTTTAACAATATAACGATATAACGATAAAAATATGAATTATAACTTTTTAAAAAGCAAGGCTAATAACAGAAAAAAAATAACAAGCTGATGAAAAAAGAGAGAATGCATGAGATAACACAATGTTAGAAATGATCAGAAGAATAATAAAAAAACGAAATTAAAAATGAAAAAAAAAAGGAAATATTTAAATATTAAAAAGAAACAAAAATATCAAGTCACTTTAAATATAGTAACAAATATAATAAGCAAAAACAATAAATATAACTTAAAAGATTTAACAATCAACATTACACAGCCGGAAAGTTGTCAAGCTATCAAGTTGACAATATAAATATTCTACAAAATACATGACAGAATAAACAACACAAAAAGTAGTACATGCCAATATAAGCAATGAACAAAAATACATGACAATATAAACAATGCAAATAAATTATGGAAAAAATTGATCTTTTAGTTTTAATTTATTTTTTCATTAACTTTTGGTGGTAGAAAGACAGAAGCCATTTTTATATATTATAAAGGATCATTTTTATCATTTTACATTTTTTAACTAATAAACTATAAATGGTTGTTGCTTTTTTTTTAAATATTTTTTTCTTCATAATCTTTTCAAAATCTCTAAATCATAATACACAAGCAGAATGGGTTTAAGTACTTTATCCTCCAAACATTTTAAGCTTTTTGGCCTCTGTTGGTCTCCCAGAAAACAAATTTAACAGCTATCAATTTTTTAAATTTAAAATTAAAAAAAACTTATAACTGTTGTACTAGGGCTTAAAAATGTATTTTCTTCCGCATTTAAACATTGCACGTTATTTTCTTCCTCATTTAAACATTGCACGTTATTTTCTTCCGCATTTAAACATTGCACGTTATTTTCTTCCGCATTTAAACATTGCACGTTATTTTCTTCCGCATTTAAACATTGCACGTTATTTATTACACAAAAACACTTTGTTTGATAAAAATTGTTTCATTATTTAATGTTGAAAATGAACATTTTCTGGAACAATTTATTGCAGCAGCGGTAAAAAAGATTTGAAGATCTATGTTGAAGATTTGAAGACGTCAATGTTGAAGATTTGAATATCTACGTCAATGTTGAAAAATGTTGATCCAAGATTCTTGGATCAACATTTTTCAATGATTCTTGGATTAACATTTTGAAAGATTCTTGGATCAACATTTTGAAAAATGTTGATCCAAGATTACTTTGAGTAAACTCAGAGCTAAAAGCTTTTGTTTGCTTTTTACGTTTTTAATCTCAGTTGAAATAAAAGCTTCAAAATAGAGACATTAATTAAATAAACGAGAATTGAGATCACTTAGGTAACGGTCAACAAGTTTTTGTGTACTGCAAATGATCTCTGAAACATCCATGTTAGAGAGATTCTCAAAAAAAAACAAAAAGATAATTCAACCCAGAACATGCTTTCTTTCTTTTACCTAGTTTACTTCAGTTTAGATTGCCCAGAAAACACTGCATGTTCCGCACTGATAATTTCATTTTCCTATGTCTTACAAGCTCCTAAAGGTTTTGATCTTAAGCAAATCTTTTAATCTTATGTCTTACAAGCTCCTAAAGGTTTTGAGCAAATCTTTTAATCTACGGCAAAGTGTTGACAAAATAAATTCTGTTTTATAATTGCAATTGCTTTAAGTGCAGCAAATTCACTCAAAATTGGAGTGAATTGGCTGCATATAAAGCTGCAGGGAGTCATACTGTTTTTTGACCTAAATAAATATTGACGAACTGCAATTTTTTATTACCCTTGTTGAATCTCTCAATAAATATTCTCAACATGATGGATAGAATAGCAGTCTTGTTGGTTCATTTTGTTCACAGGTCTGAAAGCTTATGCTTTTATTTTTGTTTTCTGAACATCATTAAGCTCAACAAGAATAGCCTAAAATATAAGAAAAGAATAAAATAGAAGATAGTTATTGATAAGTATGTGCAACCTCAAATGAATCGTGCGCTTTATTTTATTTTAAATTCTTAACCATCTTGTAAATTAAATTTTTCAAGGGATAAAAAAGCATCAGCACAAGCAGACATGTTTGCATCAGCACAAGCAGACATGTTTGCAAGTGATTCTTGGAACTCCTAAAATAAAATCTAAAAAGGAAATTTGAATTGAAGACATCACATCAGTGAGTTCATGCAGAAAAGATGTTCTAAATAGAAAGACAAAAAAATTGAGAACAGCTTTAAAACAGATACTTTTTTTTTGGTCTGGTATTGCTTAGTAAAGTCTAAATAAATTCTTCTTATGACTGCTTTACTTTGAGATATGAATGTGGTGATGAAAGTGCTTTGTGGTCTGTTAATATCACTAAAAGTGACTGGCATGCTAACAGTCCAAGGTCTTTTTTTTCACATATAGTTCTCTTTGATTTTCAAAAAAAAAAACAAAAAACGGAACAAAATACATGCTCCCTTTATCTCTGAACAGGGTTTGAAAAAACCCTTGGTTTTTTAAAAAAACCCAACCCAAATGGGTTTTTTTGGGTTTTTTCAAAACTGACCGTTATTAGAAAAAAAAAATACTTTTCCTAGATATTTAAAAACCTGTTTTGTTATTAAATTTTTTTAAAAAAATACAATGTGCTATAAACCAGGATGGAAAGTTCAATTTCTAAATTTATAGTTCTTTTACCCTAAATGTTCTTACTTTTATTGTTGAAGTACCTTAAGTCTCTAACCACTTTTGGAGCTCTTGGACACTTAGGTCTATGAAAATGTAGTTATGTTATGACTTTTAAAACTGCAACGTTTTTTGGAATTTCCTGATTTAAACTAGTTAACATTATTTATATTTTAATCATAATAGAATTTATTTTTAGAAAAAAAAAAAAATTAATAAGAATATATATTATGGCTCCTGGATCTGGAAGGAAACTTGCATGTGAATGGAATGACATGGTTAAATTATTAATTATTGCAATGAAATTATAAATAGCCAAAAAATTGAAGGAATTAGAATTCATTTAAATAAATGTAAAAAAAAACCATCTGCTGATGTTGCAGAACGAAACAAGAATTTTATTTTAAAAGACGGCCAAGTATCATCTCAGGCATCTGTAAACTTGTTGTGTGATTTTGTTAGCCCAGTTGCTTCAGAATCTTTTAAAGCATCAAACACTTCTGGTGTCTTTGAGAGTAGTTACTCTGGTTCAATACCAACCCCATATAAAAAACAAAAGTTTATAGAAAACTACATATCAAGAACAAGCTCAGATCAAAAGGATGTTTTTGACTTGCAAGTTGCCAAATTTTTTTGCTTGCAATATTCCCTTTAATGCTGTTGAAAATAGAGAATTTAAAAAATGTATTAATTTTTTGAGACCTGGTTATGATCCTCCAAACCGGAAGAAACTTTCAGGAGAGTTACTGGATAAAGTGAACGATGAAGTAATTGTATCTATGAAAAGTGAATTTGGAGTACTATTACATTGATACAAAATGGTTGGAGCAGTGTCAAAAATAATCCAATTATTGTTCACAGTGTACATAATGGAAAAACCCCATATTTAATCTCCGCTATAGATGCAGAAAGTGAAAAAAAAAAAAACTTCAGAATATTGTGCTCCATTAGCCATTGAAGCAATAAAACACATCAAGAAGGTTTATGAACAAGATGTAAGTATAATAATACTGTATCATAGTATTTACTTTAACTTAAGCCAACTAAAAATATAAGAATATTTGTCTACTTCCAACAGGTATTTGCCATTTGTACAGATAATGAGAACAAAATGAAAAAGAATATATATATATATATATATATATTCTTAAAGAGGAATATCCATTGCTACTTACATATGGATGCTCAGCTCATTACTTAAATTTAGTTGAAAAGCAGCTGACACCAAGTTTTTTGGCATATTTAATTGAAGTTAACAAGTACTTCCGTAATCATCACCAACCACGTGTGAGTAAATCATCACCAACCAACGTGTGAGTAAATCATCACCAACCACGTGTGAGTAAATCATCACCAACCACGTGTGAGTAAATCATCACCAACCACGTGTGAGTAAATCATCACCAACCACGTGTGAGTAAATCATCACCAACCACGTGTGAGTAAATCATCACCAACCACGAGTGAGTAAATCATCACCAACCACGTGTGAGTAAATCATCACCAACCAACGTGTGAGTAAATCATCACCAACCACGTGTGAGTAAATCATCACCAACCACGTGTGAGTAAATCATCACCAACCACGTGTGAGTAAATCATCACCAACCACGTGTGAGTAAATCATCACCAACCACGTGTGAGTAA